CGGACGAATATCAAAGGTGATAACCATATCAGGCTCAAATGCATAAGCCTTGCATAGTGCTTGCCAAGTTTTGCATTCAAAATAGGTGTATGTATCTCCATTATATAATTTGACGTTGAAAGTATACCCATGCTCCGTCTTCAAGTAAACTCTCTTTACCTCCATATCATATATAGCACTAAAACATATCTTATCCAAGATAAAAATTCTTGCATGGCAGGGGATGCGCTAGTAGAATAGTGAAAATTTAAAATTATAAGTTGAAGCAAATGAAGCATAAGTTTTGCATTCAAATAATAATTGACAAAGTGACTTACTGTATCAACTTCGAATGTCTCATCCAGCTTGATGCTGAAGCGCCTACCATCAACAAGGAAATTTTGGTCGCACAGGCCGCGCTGGTCTTCACAGTGTTCGCACAAAATAAATTCTTTTTCGTCGTCAGATGACATTTCCTATGTTCATATAGGTGAAACATTAAACACCTATATCTAGCCAAATATATATTCATCTAACATTTGACATTAATATATCTAACTATATATTCAATTGACATTACTATATATTTAACTTTTCTATCTAATTCATCTATCATTCGACATTAATCTAACATTTATATAAACTCAAAATATATAAAAAATTAAATAAACAAAAAACTCATTAACAAATAATATTTTAATTAGATCATCAAATCTCATATACCTAATTTTTCTTACTAAAATAAACTAGTTATATTAATTATTCAACTAGTTCTAATCTCATATACCTAAATTTTCTTACTAAAAATAAACTAGTTATATTAATTATTCCACTAGTTCTAATCTCATATACCTAAATTTTCTTACTAAAAATAAACTAGTTATATTAATTATTCAACTAGTTCTAATCTCTAGTTCGACAATTTTTCTATCTAGCTAGCTAATTCATCTAACATTCGACATTAATCTAACATTCGATCATCTAATTAACTTTTCTAAAAAACAGAAAATAAGTAAAAAAAATGTGTGTGTGTATGTGTGTGTGTGTATGCATGTGTGTGTATATATACGTATATGTGTGTACGTATGTGTGTATGTGTGTGTGTATGCGTGTGTGTGTGGTATATGTGTGTGTGTGTGTGCGGCCCCGTACGCCGCCGCCCCGTACGTACGAGCGGGGGCGCCGGCGTACGGGGCGGGGGCGCCGGTGTGTGTGTATGTGTGTGTATGTATGTATGTGTATGTGTGTGCGGGAGCGAGAGATAGACGTACGGCCGCGGCGATGGCGACGGACGGCGGCGGCGTTCGGGGCGGCAGCGCGAGACGACGACGACGATGGGCGGCGGCGGGGACAGCGACGATGACGACGGACGACGGGCGGCGACGACGGGATCGAGCGGCGCGCGCGGCGGAGGTTGGAGACGAAGTGGGGATGAAACTGAAATTTTCGTAAGAGCTATATATATAGGATGGGCCTTTAGTACCGGTTGGTGGCTCCAACCGGTACTAAAGGCCTATTTTCGCCAGGCCAAGCGGCGGGAAACGAAGGCTTTTAGTACCGGTTGGAGCTACCAACCGGTGCTAAAGGGGGGGGGCCTTTAGTACCGGTTGAAGCCACGACCCGGTACTAAAGGCCTTGCGCTGCCACCCCAAAGTTTAGTCCCACCTTGCCCGTCGAAGGGCAGCCGCACTGGTTTATAAACTCAACCGCGACTACCTATTCGAACTTCTCTATATAGCAGGCTTCTGGGCCTAATTAATTAGGGCGCGCTGCCCTGTGAGTCTGCTGGCCCTCCTGGGCCTGCATTTGCACACCCTAGGTCTGGTAGACCCACAGGGCAGTGTGCCAACAAATTTGTTATATAGTTTTTTCTTTTCTGCATTACTTATTTTCTTTTATTTATTTTTGAGTAGTTTTTATATAGTTTTTTCTTTTCTGCATTATTTATTTTCTTCTATTTTTTTGAGTAATTTTTTGTATAGTTTTTTTATTTTCTGCATTATTTATTTTTGTATAGTCCGAAACCCTGATACTCGAAAAGAGTTTGTCCAATTTGTACACGAAGTGCGTCCAGTTTTTGCCGTGACCCTCTCTACTCTTTCGCGCATGCTATGCGGGTGATATGATGATACCATGCCAAGTTTCAACATTTTCAGGATTCATTTTGTAGTGATTTTCAATTTCACGGTCATTTAGCTCTCTAAACAATTAGGTAAATGACAGAAAAACAACAAATGATGTCAGAACATGTTGGAAATTGATGACGCCGCTTTAAATGCTGCATACTGAACACAAAAGAAGTCCGGAGTTTAAATAAGTTATTAAAAATAAAAAAAGGTGCAATGCTGGTTAATTTGTTTCAAGCCATTCGGAATAGTGTAGACTGCACTGCACATAGCTCAGTGCAATCTATGCTATTCCGCAAGGCTTGAAGCTAATCAAAATGTAGGTGAGCATTGCAACTCTTCGTCATTGTCTGTGCACTCACGGCTTATAAACCGCTCATACTGCCTCTCTCTTGGCGAAGATCACAAGATAGTTTGGTTAAATTGCATTACTTGTAAGTCCAGTTAACATGGATGCTTATGATGCAAGTGCAACAGCAAAAGTGAAAATTTGGCACAAATAGGTAGTTGTGTAACTAAAATAGGTAGGAGGAGAGATAGCTCTTATGTCATAAAAAAGAAGTTGTATCAAACCTTTTATGTCAGATCTAGAACAAACCAATCGGTATCGCCATCATACAGCCCAACCGTGGCTCGTGATGCATATATATGCATATCAAATGCACGGTTGGACGTATGATGGCGAATCCGAATGATTTGTATTTAGTCGATGAACTGGTAGATGTATGCAATCGATGAACTGGTAGATGTATGTAGTCGATGAACTGAAAGACTTATGCAGGGAAGGCGAGAGGTGGGCTAGCTATATATAGGGTCGTCTGGCTCACAAAGTGATTGTGGTAGTTTCGATCCAACGACTCACATGAGCTAGAAAGAAACACACGATCCGTGTGATTCTTCCTGATTGGTGGGATGCACATTAGTACCCACTCCGGACTCCGAAACCCTGATACTCGGAAAGAGTTTGTCCAGTTTGTACACGAAGTGCGTCCAGTTTTTGCCGTGACCCTCTCTACTCTTTCGCGCATGCTATGCGGGTGATATGATGATACCATACCAAGTTTCAACATTTTCAGGATTCATTTTGTAGTGATTTTCAATTTCACGGTCATTTAGCTCTCTAAACAATTAGGTAAATGACCGAAAAACAACAAATGATGTCAGAACATGTTGGAAATTGATGACGTCGCTTTAAATGCTGCATACTGAACACAAAAGAAGTCCGGAGTTTAAATAAGTTATTAAAAATAAAAAAGAGGTGCAATGCTGGTTAATTTGCTTCAAGCCATTCGAAATAGTGTAGACTGCACTGCACATAGCTCAGTGCAATCTATGCTATTCCGCAAGGCTTGAAGCTAATTAACATGTGGGTGAGCATTGCAACTCTTCGTCATTGTCTGTGCACTCACGGCTTATAAACCGCTCATACTGCCTCTCTCTTGGCGAGGTGGGACTAAAAGCAGCTTGCCATAACCTCATTAGTACCGGTTCGTGGTAAGAACCGGCACTAAATGGTGATGGTGGGGCCATAGCCTGACCGCATGCTGATGCAGCCTCCTCTTTAGTACCGGTTCGTGGCATGAACCGGTACTAAAGGTTCGCCACGAACCGGTACTATTGATCGCCGCCTCGAACCGGCACTAATGTACACATTAGTGTCGGCTCTAATTCAAACCGGCACTAATGTGCTTCACGTTTGACCCTTTTTCTACTAGTGGGAGGAGGCACCGCCTGAGAAGGATTCGAGCTCCCGCAGAGCTCCAGTGGATCTCCATCACCACCAGCATCGCCAGTGGAAGCGCCGCCGCCGCCGCCGCCGCCGCGGCCATCGCCGCCGCCAGGTTTCGCCTTCCCCATTGAAGCCCCAGGGAGAGCAGAGGAGCGACTGAGTGAGAAGTGGAGTGGGGGCGGCGCGGTCGGCCGGTCCGACGCGAGCCGACCAAGTCGTCTCGACCAGACGGCGCCGTTTGCCGTCCGTTATGCCACGTAGGGGGAAACCGGGCCCCATCTGTCAGAAACGCACTCAAACGAAGCAAATCGGTCGATCAGTGCACACTGCAAAAAGTTTACTGAATATGCGGTGTTTTTTGCAAATGATTAGCGACCTCGTGGTTTTCTGCAATCGATGCCCCAAATGTGGTGGTTTTTTGCAATTCACTCCCAACATACGTACGATTGCTCAAAAATTCGTGAAACATGTCTATAACAGATTATTATCATTATATCAGCACATAAATACCATCTCAGCATCTTAGGGGCATTCCTGACTTTTTACTCGAAAGCGACAGCTCAGACAGCCAGTTTACCAAACGGTAACACAACCCACAGCAGCTTTTCCATCACAACAGCTTTCCCACAGCTCACAACCCACAACACCTTTTCCACGGCTCACAGCCCATAGCAGCTTTTCCGCAGCTCACAGCCCAACCAAGCACCCTCGTAATGATGTATATTGAGTAGACAAGATTTCGATCTCAAGCGATGATGCAACCACCACTTTGCCTTCAAACCTAACATGTTCCCTATTGAAACGTAAATTCTTTCTCAAAGATGGTACGTTCTTTAAGCAATCTACATGACAACTATTTGAGAAACTGTATAAATTTGGTACCACAACATATGGATCCCATATGAGGGCACCATGCCAAGTTTCATGTTTTTCGATTTCGTTTGCAATTCGCTATTAAAATAGCAATAAACTTCATGTTCGGGTCGAGTCCTGGCACCTAGATGTTTGCAATTCCTTTCCATTTCTAAACATAGAACAAAGACCATAAATAAAACAATTTAACTCAATTATCCAAACATTTCAAGTACTTGCAGTAAAATTTTGAGTTATTTGTCATTCTCAAAAAATTTAGGAACAGAGGTAGTAGTATCACGTATCTAGTTTCCCTACTCCTGGAGCGTCCGGATTAGCTGATGCAGCGTGGGAGCAAATCTGGTGACGTTGAGTCTGATGTCTTGCTCCGCCCAGAAGTAGCGCTTTGCACCCTGCCACCCCTGCTTGTGCACCGAGTCCGGGTCACTAACCGCCGGGTGGTCCTTGCCGTACTTTTCGTAGAGCGTGCTCTCCTCGGCACTGATGAAGTACTGGATGTGCTGCACCATCACCGCCGTGGCCTGATTGCCGTAGTAATGCAAGGCCTCGCGCTCCAGGCCCAGCCCCACCACCTGCAGCAGCACCGCGTTGGTGCGCAAGAAGAAGAAGTTTGTGAGCGCGGCCCCGTGCACGCCCATCAGCACGTCGCATGAGTCCACCGCCCGGGCGAACTCCTCCATCCCCATGTCACGGCTCGGCTCCATGACCAGCAGCTCGAACCCGGCTGCCTCCACCGCCGCGGAGACCTCCGGAAGGTTGACGAACTTCCTGCTCTCGCCGCGATTGATGAGCAAGAGCCGCGGCTTTGGATTCTCCGTGACAGCAGTGCCATTGTCGTTGCCGGCTGCGTTCTTCTTGCTGGCCTCCTTGTACGGGATTCCTCGGTCGTCCGACGGGAGCAGGAAGACGTCCCGGACGTACAGGCGGAAGTCCAGCAATGTGTAGTTGCGCGGCGTGCGGGCTGGGTCGATGTCGAGGTCGCCGTGGCTGCGGAGGCCGACTATGATGTGCGGGTAGCAACGGACGCCAGCGTCCTTGTTGAAGTCGATGATGTCGTAGCGTGACAGGTTGGTGAGGACGAGACGATACTTGTCCACGAACCACGGCTGGAGCTCGGTGACAAGGAACTGGACCTCGCCGTCGTAGGCGCGGGTGGTGATGAAGAGCGGGATCAGGAGATCGCTCAAGTCGTGCCATGGGTTGCCTATGATCCCATTCATGGCGAACACGACGGCCGGGACAGTGTGCCGAGAGGTGCACTCCGGTGCCACCAAGGACTGGGCGGCGCTCAGGGTCTTGACATTCACCTCCTTGATGTCCCCCAGTTGCTTGCGGGACTGGTCCTTGATGGCCCACTCCGGGCCGTCGGTGCCGCGCTCGTCGGCTGGCGGGACATAGAGGACGGTACGGTTGGCGCCGATGGCACGGGCGTCTCCGGTGATCTCGCAGATGTCGTACCTAGGATCAGAGAGGTCGCAGATGGGCTTGCGCGGAGCACCTGCATGCACGCGGCCTGATTCAGATTATGAATGAAATGGCATTCGAACGGAAGCAAAGTTAAGCGCAACGAACCACGTTTGACGTCTCGATCGAGTTCTTGGCGAATGAGCTCTTCCTGCGTCTTGTCGTCACTAGCATCATTTTTTCCTGTTTGGCCTAACTGGCCCCTTGTTTCCCTATCATTCTTGGCTACATCGTCCTTCTGCCCGTTATCTATGTCATGTGTTGCAGTTGTCAATGTTAGTATGCCAATCAACAAACAAAATACCTAGGGTTTGGTATATGTATCTACTACTATGAATTTAGTATAATCGTATTCATAGTTTCATACACATATCTACTACCCTGATACCTATGCTATATAACAGGATGACCCGACGCGCAGTAGTAATTGATATACCTTGAATAGAATTGTTAGGTGCCAACAACGCTGGAGGAGAAGAGGCCCTGGCATTTTGCTCGCCCGATGTGGACTGCAGAACGACTACACACATACGAAGAAGCAAGCATATATCATTCTAAAGTAAATAATTACATAAATAAACGACTCACAAATTTTAGAAAATATGTGTGATCCTGTTTTGAGACTAGAAACACCCTGAGCGAATCTTGTAGCTTGTTTGGCAGTACTGCCCAACATTAACTTTCAATTAGTACTCCCTCCGTAAAAAAAAATATATAAGATCACTTAGAGGGAATACTAGGTAGGTATGGATCAGGGGCGGATTCTATAGGAAACACCGGAGAACCACACACCACGCAAACACCGGCCCGCAGCACATAAACAACTTGTGTCAAAATAATGGACAGAAAGAGAAATATATTAGTTGGGAGAGACCAAGGCATGCCAGACTAAAGGAAATAAACATGGAGAGGAAAGTGGAGGTTGGACCGGATGTGGCTGTTCTGATCTCAGGCTCGTGTGAGATTGGGTAAACAGTAAAATCAAATAAAAAGGAAAAGACATAAAAAATCTGATTTTTTGTGTGTGAAACATTGAAAAATGTTTTGATAGCTTGCAGAATTTCGTCACCAGGTGATATTTCTGGAAAATATGGCAAAAAAATTGAGGCTCCAAAATGTTATGTTCAAAAACATTTTGGAGCATCGATTTTTTTTGCCACGTCTTTCACGTCATTGTAGGATGAAATTTTGCAAGCTATATTAAAACATTTGCCAATTTTTCACACAGCAAAATCAGATTTTCCTTTGATTTTTTTTACTGAGCTCGGGATTAGAACAACACTTTCGAGATCGAACCTCAATCCTAGCGCCCTTAACTGAAACAAAATGGCTTTGTATATGAAAATAGTGGAGTACTATCTAATGACATTAAATAAATATTTACATATAGTTTATATCTTAATGTTGCACTTGTATCTAAAACAACCCTTAGTTAATATCTTTAGATGGTCGCATTTACTGTTTTACATGACTCATATATTACATAATTTATGTATGATCCAGTATCATAATATGATGCTATTGTCATATACTTCCTCATGCTTAAGTAGTTGACATTGCATCATATACCTACCCTATCCCACTACAAAAGAAGATTACCACTACTAAGTAACCCCCCTTCGTTCACTATTCTAAGATGTTCTAACTATTTTCTGATTTAGGGATGTATATATACGCATTTTAATGTGTCCATTCACTCATTTAAGTCCATATATAGTCTATAGTAAAATATCAAAAGCATGTTATATTTGTGAACGGAGGGAGTACTAACCAATGTCATTCGCGGGCCGGGACGGGCCAAACACCACGGTGGTGTGGAGCACGAGGATGACGATGAGAGCAAACAGGAACCCAACCACGGCCTGGCGGCGGTGAGCCAACGTTTTCGCCGCGCCCTTCACCGCCTGCGCCGGCGCCGAGAACGAGTTGGCAGCCATCCGGTCGCCGCCTTGACCGGCCGACGGTCGCTTCTCCTTCCGTGTCTTGATCTCTTCTCTCCCTCTGGTCCAACTACATTCTAAATCTGTGTCTTGAGTAGCCTCTTTCTTCTCTCCCTCTGTTGTAACTACATTCTAAATCTGTGTGCTGGGTAAACTCTTCTTCTCTCCCTCTGTTGTAACTACATTCTAAATCTGTGTGCTGGGTAACCTCTTCTTCTCTCCCTCTGCTCTAACTACATTCTAAATCTGTGCCCTGGGTAAACTCTTCTTCTCTCCTTCTGCTCTAACTACATTCTAAATTTGTGTCCTGAGTAGCCTCTTCTTCCCTCCCTCTGTCTAAATCTGTGTGCTGGGTAAACTCTTCTTCTCTCTCCTTCGGCTCAAACTAGATTGTAAATTTGTGTGTTGGGTAACCTCTGCCTGTGGCGCATATGTAGAGTATGTGTTTATATACACGCAGCAGGCTGTTTGCGGGCGTCCTAGTGATCTCCATGTGCGTGGTTGCAGTAAGAAGTTTGACTAGGAAGGGTTGGGCGGTGAGCCCGCATGGATCCACTCGCACCTGGAGTAGCTTCATCCTTACTCCTGCAAGTCAGCGACTTGGATTAGAATAGTACATGAATAGTACTCCCTTCGTTTTTATTTAGTTTGCATATTAGCTTTGGTCAAAGTCAAGCTTTACAAACTTTGATCAAGTTTATATACAAAAATATTAAGATATACAATAACAAATCAACAACATTAGATTTATTATTAAATGTACTTTCACATCGTATAGAATTATTATGATAAATGTCTATATTATTTTCTGTAAACTTAGCCAACTTTATGAAGTTTAACTTTAGTCAACTCTAATATGCAGAGTAAATAAAAACGGAGAGAATATGGCAAACGGCTCTCTGTTCGACGGTCAGCTGGCGCAGTTAATTGCAATTAGACAAGTGATGGGACCCGACCCGAGGTGGTCAACCCGCCAAACACGCCATTAATGGGGCATGAGAACCCCGAGGCCGTCGCTAGCAACGTGCGCCGATCCGATCCGATCCGACACCAGATGCAAAGGCTAACCAGCTGTGCCGTGCCGACCATACGCGCGCAGAGGTGGGTGCGGACTGGTGTAGAAGGATCTGGGATGACACCTCGGACGTCGGGTCGGTTTGCATTACTTTGACTTGTGATAACCAAGGGCAAAAATTAATCGGAATTCTGTAGTTGTTGGCTCAAGAAACGTACTATTTCTAGAAGGCACAGTTAAATTTATGTGGGTTTTCACAATAAACAAGGTTTAAGGCGCATTGCATTTATTTCTAGTAGCTAATTAGTACATCGATATACTATTTCTATATGCATGCGTAGTGTGAATGTTATTTTTTAGCCCATCCCACTACCAATAGATAACCACATAGGTCCCAAAGAATTTCCAAGCGCGCCTTTTAAACCGTGACGGAGGGAGTATAAAGATTCGTGCATTGGCTTGGATTTCTCATGTGAGAGTACACTCATCTTGCGTATTCTAGAAAAAAGAGAGTATATACTAATCTGATGAGACACATATATACTACCTCCGTTCTGGTTTATTGGACCCTGTCAGAAGAGATAGAGAGCGAGGATTGGCATAATCTGCTGGATGCATTACTGAGCCTTGAGGACGAGTATATACTGAGGGCTGCTTTATTGGTTCTCCTTGGATTTTGTGTCAAATTTTGACCTAAGATTTAACTAACACATGTTAATGCATGTTAATAATAATAATAATAATATTGAAAATTACGTTCAAATACGAATCTAACAATCTAATTTTTGGTGATATGCATTAATATTTTGTTAGTTAAATCTATGGTTAAATTTTGGCAAAAAATACAAAGGGGACCAATAAACCAGGACGGAGGTAGTATAAAACTTGGAGGGCAAGACGCCTACAAGAGATAAGATGAAAACAATTTTTATCTAATCCCGGGCAATCTCTAAACGCCAAATATATCTCTAACATCCCACCGCAGTCGTAGCGGTAGCGTTGCGAACAACAGGAGCATCGCGGACGGTCAGGCTGGAGAGAATAGCAGCCAATGGGCTGACATCCCCCCGCAGTCGCAGCGGGAGCATCGTGGGCGGCGACGGGTCGCAGACGCGTGGACTGTAGAGGAAGCCGACGAGTTGCCCCAGCGAGTTGATAGCCCTTTGTGTCGTTGTTGAGGTAGCCGAAAGCGTGGGTTGGTATAGCCGTGCTCGAGGTAGCCGTGGTCGATGTCGAGTTGGGGTGGCCGGTGTCGAGCGAGTCGTCGTGGAGCTGCGGGCGCAAAGAGGCGCCGAGTTAGTCATGGACACAATGACGAGGAGGTAGTGGTGAGCCAGGAAGAAGACGGTGTTGATGAGGCGTCGCGCTGGGTTTGCCAAGTCCGGGGACACCGGACACGTCGTGAACGAAGGCTCGCGTCGGTGTTGCCAGCACCAGACATGCATAGATGGACAAAGACAAAGTTGATGAAGTGTCGCTCCAGGCTTGCCAGGCCCGGGGACATGTCGTGGACGATGGCACGCGTCGATATTGATAGCACCGGACATGCGAAGCCGGGGACCTGCAAAAGATGTACGCTATGTCGGAGGAGTCGGAGGGGTTAGCGGAGGAGGACTCAACAACAGTTGCGACGCCAATTGGCGTGGGGCCGATGTCGCCGACGATGTTCAGAGTAGACGAAGTGGTCGGGGAACATGACGTCGACGTTGGTGATGAGCTGGTGTTGTACGAAGATGAATGGGGTGGATGGGCGGTGCGACTTGGGTGAGCGAGTAGCAATGGAGCCAAAGAAGAGCAGCAGCCGCGGACGGGCGGCTGGGTTAGGAGCACGGCGACAATGCTCGAAGTAGGTGAGGAAGAACCTAATAGCGTGACGAAGACCAGTGCCGATAGTGGCGTTCTCGCGCCAAGGGAGGCTATGTGGCACGTACCACGTGGAAGTCGACGCACGGGAACGACGCAGTGGACCGCATACCACGGTGCTACGGCCTGAAGCGGCGACACATCGTCAGCATACTAATCAGGGCGACGGCAGGAAGACCTCGCGTGGCAGCAGGGACCGCGCGTCACACTTGCTACGGCCCGGCGGGGCGACGCAGCGGCAGCGTGAGGGTCGGTGCAGCCGCGGGTACAGCCTAGAGCTGACGGCCTCGGGGCGGCGGTGGACCGCGGGCCGCAAAACTATGACCCAAAAGGGCGACACAGCGGCAGCGCGCAGGTCGGTGCAACCACGGGGATGACCACGGGCGGCGGCAGGGACAGCGTGCTGCGGTGCTACGGCCCGAAGGGGCGACGTAGCGGCAGCGCGCGAGTCGGTGGAGTGGCGAAGAGAACCACGGGGAGGTGGCGCTGCCGCCCGACGAGGCGACGCGGTGACATCACCGGAAAAAAGCAATTCTCCATGTCCCCTTGAACAACAGTGCACAAAACACTATCCAGAGCCCCGCCACAAGTCCCAGCACAAAACCAAAATGAAAGGTCAGTGGATCAAACTCTTGCTTGCTGCTTCCGAGATCACCATCGATAGAAGTACCATTTCCTGAACAATTGTTGTGGAGAGGAGGCCCACAAAGTCCACTGTTGCCGATGTACATAATTGACGGGTTGTCCAAATTGAGGGTGTCAAGTTGGCGGCCAGAGGGTATCCTTCCAGATAAATTGTTGTAGGATAGGTTCAAGGCCTCCAAAGATGTTAGACTTGACAAGCTGGACGGGATTCCACCGGAGAGCTTGTTCCCAGAGAGGTCAAGAGATACCAGTGACTGCATGGCCCCAATCATGTTTGGAATTTGTCCACTCAATTTGTTTGATGATAAATTCAAATTCATCAGTGCAACAAGGAAAGTGATGTCTCCAGGGATTTCACCAGTCAAGGAGTTGCTTGATAAATCAATGCTTACAAAATCTGCAAGTGTTTTACCATACACAAGTTGTTGTCCTTTTGTAACCACTGAAAATATATCTCCGAATAGACCAGGTTCCATCACGATCATTTTGTATCCCATGACTCGATACATTTCCACAAAATCCATATTTACCTTTGTCATAAATGTTAAGTTTGACAGATGCCAAGGTACTGCACCAGAAAAATTATTGCTTGATAGATCCAGGTATTGAAGATACTTAAGCATTGTTATGTCGACTGGAATACTATCAGAAAATGCATTGTGGCTCAGGAGTACAAAACCTAAATTCCCCAGATCTCCAATCCATGTAGGCAATCTTCCAGACAACTTGTTCCATGCAAGATCCAAGAACTCCATATTTGTGTTATTCTGCAAAAATGCAGGGAACTTTCCTGATAAACTGTTGTTACTGAGCACGAAATACTGTAGTTTTTGGATGTCAAAACACTGAGGAATTTCACCCTCCAAAAAATTGTTTGACAAATCCAGATAAAACAGTTGTTGCAATTTGCAAACAGGTTCTGGAATGGACCCAACAATTCGATTTGAATAGACAATCAATAGTTCAAGTTGGGAGGCTTCAAAATTTGATGGTATTATTCCTGAAAAGTTATTGTTGGAGATGTCTAACGCAGTGATATTTGCCAGCAATGAAGGTATTGACCCGGTGAGCTGGTTTGATGTTAGAGAAAGAGTTTCCAAAGCCATACCATCCAGGTGTGCTGGCAAGCTGCCACTTATTTGGTTGTTAGAGATGTCGAGATGTAATGTCTGTGAAAATGTATACCAAAACCAATCAGGAAACTTGTCGTCCAAACCAGTGCTCGAAATGTAAAGTTTAGTGATCCCCCGCAGCTGCTGAAGCCAAGCTGGAAAGAGAGGACCGATCTGGCAAGATCGAAAATCTGCATATTGTAGCCTAAACAGAGAATGCCAATCTGAATCCACTACAATCTTCAAGTTATTGGAAGACAAGTCTATGGAGTTTAAACTTTTTAGGTTTGCAAAGTGTTCTTCTGTGATCAGACCACTAAGGTTGTTGTTGCTTAGGTCCAGATAATCCAGAATCTTGAGAGAACCTAATTCAGTGGGTACACTTCCATTAAGGTGATTATTGGAGAGGACTAGGAAGGTTAAGCTAGTTGAATGCATAACCTCTGATGGTATTGGTCCAGTAAATTTGTTCCCTCCGAGAGAAAGAGTATTCAAATGCTTCAATTTTCCAAGCTCGGCTGGTATACTTCCGGTCAAGTTGTTGCCGCTTATGTCCAAAGAAGTCAGAGCAGTAAGGGCACCAATTTCAGTTGGTACATTCCCATTGAGCTGATTCAGGCTGATATCAAGGTCAGTTAAATGCGCCAAATTCCAAGTCCCTGGTGGTAGAAATCCAACAAGATTGTTGCTAGACAGGTCAAGTATGCTCAAGCTGCTAAATTGCCCTATAAAATTTGGCAGGGTCCCAATGAATTCGTTTTGATGGAAATGCAGCTCTGACAATTTTCCCCATGCGCATCGCGGTAACCCCTCCATCACCTCCACTATATCCCCATTCATAGAATTGATAGAGAGGTTGAGGATTTCCAAACAGCAAAGATTTTCAAGAACGGTCATAAGGTTTTCAGTCCTATTCAGATGGTTGAATGACAAATCAAGTACCTTGAGTGATGTCATGTTTCCTAGTGCGTCCGGAAATTTTCCAAATAACTGGTTCCAACCAACATTTAGGTATTTGAGGGTCGTCACTTTCCAAAACCAACTTGATGCAATTGAGTGGCCTAACTGATTCCTTGACAAATCAAGCTTCTAAAGTTTCGTGAGGTTAAGGTAAGGAAGCGATTGGCTTGCAGTATCAAGTGAACATTGAACAAGATTGATAACCCTTAGAGATGGAATCATATTCAAGGTACGAGACCAGTCGGTTATCACTGAGAGATTTATTTTGCTCATGCTAAGGTACTGCAGCAATGGTAGCTTTGTTAACCAGGTGATATCCGTTGAATACATCTCGGAAAAAAACCAACCTGGGCAAGGTCAAGATGCTGCAACTTAGACAAGTTACCAAGTTGAGAAGGAACTCTACCAGTAAATGGAATGCCAGAGAGGTCAAGATATCTCAAGTTCTCCATGGAGCCCAAGAACTGAGGAATATAATTATTTGGGCCTAGCAAACAGTTCATGCTAAGATCCAGGTGCTCTAGATGCTTCAAGGAAAGTAGAGAGGGACTTATCTCGCCAAACAATGAATTAGCATTACTGCATGGACCTTTGAAAGTGTACGGAATTGTATTGCGAAGGCGAAGCTTGATGACATGGCCTGTCTGGTTGTTGCAGCTGATGCCCCTCCACCGGCAGCAATATGTCCCTGCCACGAGGCGAGGGCATGATCGCCGTCACTTGTGATGCCCTTGTGGAAGGAGATCAAGGCGGCCCTCTCGGCTGGGATGCAGCCGCCGCCATGGGCATGCACCACTTGTGAAGATGAAGCGATGCTTATGGCGATGAGGGTAGTGAACAGGAGATGCATCTTGGAAGAACAACAGCTGAGTAGTTGGGGAAGCATCATACGGGCTAGATCTGTATATATGCTACAGGCTTAGTGTTACTAGTATTCAGCTATGTAGCAGAGACATACTACCAGGAACGTTCGGCCATATTACTAAGCCCCACGGGGTCTACGGTCAAAGTCCCAGTCATGCAATTTTGTGCTAGAACTAGAATGTGGTGGGAGTTGCCTGCCTGCAATCACACGCCACTGTCAAGGTCACTACTCAATATTGTTTGTTGTATATGCACGTCGCACTCTGGACTTGAGCAGGCCAAAATCGAACACAACTGCTCCACAGCCCCGGGATTGCCTCTATGTACACTATTTCTTTTTGCCAAATCCACTTGCTGTTTGTCGATTATATAGAAGTATCCAACAATATGAAGCACGGCCTCACCAAAAGATAAAATGACACATTATATAAATCGACGAGTGAAAATCTCTAGTAGAATTCTGATGTCCATAGATAGGCAATGGAAACTAATCTTGTGGACATCTTATGCTAAAATACTTGAGCGTGCTAGAAGCCTTTTTGGACCAGCGGAGACAAATGGAAAAAAGAAGGGAAGACATTAATATGTACAACATGATGAAAAACGGTGAAGGCTTTAAGCCACTGCGCTTCTAGTCTAACACGATGACTATGGGTCGTGTTCCAACATGGGACATGAAGATTGTCTACCGCTATCTTCTCTTGAACCATTTCCCTTCAACTCTAGCCCATCTAGCTCTTCCTCGATCTGTACTGAAGCTAAGAGCATCTCCAGCCGTTGTGCCCGTCAGGAGGCATTTTTTCAGCCTCGTGGGGTTGGCCCGGCGAATTATTTGGCACGGGGGTGAGAATTTTCCCAGCCGCCCCCCCCCCCC